CCAAACTATCATGCTAATCCTGGCTCTAGCCGGCAACGCAAAAGTCCTAGTAATGCTATTTTGTAAGAGATATGCTAAAAATAGCTTTAGTAATAATAATAACAACAACAATAATAATAATAATAAAAAGGGCAAAAATTACAATATTGGCGTCAAAAAATCTTGCGAAGATGGTAAAAACGATAAGAATCATTTAGATCCCAACAACGATAATAATGAGGATATGAATATTAATGACAGGAATAATAACGATGAGATTAAAAATAGTGACATCAACGTTAATCATTACAAAATCGTCGACATCAGCATTTTAGATAACGAAAAACAAGACATTAAACAACTCAACAACAACAACACCAACAGCAACGACAACATCATCAACAACAACAACAACAACAACATCAACAGCAACGACAACATCATCAACAACAACAACAACAACAACATCAATAACATCAACAACAACATCAACAGCAACAACAACAACGACAACATCAACAACAACAAAACAAACAAAATCATAAAAAGTCGTCATTTGCAGCAACGAATTCTCAGCCACCATAAAACATCGTCGAGATTACCACTATCCCCACCACTGGTATGTTTCCAGCGGAAGTTAAGCAGAATGAATTACATGATTGCCCATCTGACGTTCGCTGACATCTTTGTTGCCTGCTTTAATATCCTTCCACAAGTAAATTTCTTTTTTCAAATTTCATAAATTAAAGAGGATTATTTTAATATAGTGATGGTGTACGTAAGGTATAAGAATTTAGATGTATACATTGTACATGCAGATGCATACGTTTTGGAAATGATTTACTTGGTTTAGCGTATTTTCATAAAATAAATTGGACTAGCGCTCTTTTGATTTTCACATTTTTTAAATTTATATAAAAATAAATTTACAGTTAATCTGGGACATCACTGAAAAATTTTACGGAAATGACGTAATCTGTAAATCGGTAACTTATCTACAAGTGGTTGCGATGCACGCGTCGTCATACGTCATCGTGGCAACCGGCATGGATAGGTATCGGGCCATTTGTAGGCCATTCCATTCCGTTAAGTGGTCCACCAAAAGGTTCTTAAGAATTTTTTTCTAGCTAGATCGTAAATGTGGAATTAGTTCTTTTTACTGAGTTGAGTCACTCCAGCCTATCAGCAATGTACCCAAGCAACTTATCTGAATCAAAACATCTTTGTAAGAGAGAGATCTCTTGGAAATTGAACCAGGTCATAGCAGGAAGCGCAGAGCATAATATATCCGCTCATCTGTATTGAAATTTTTGTAACTATTATAATTTTTATAAAAATGATTTATCTTGATTGGCAATGACGACTTTAATGGAAATATTTTTAAATATTTCGCTTTCCATCCCAAGTTCAAACCGATTGGTTGCAATAGCTTGGGGCCTGTCCATTTTATTTTCAATACCTCAGATGTTTATATTTGGATTCAGAGCAAACGATGGCGGAGAGATAAGTTGCTGGGCCGTTTTTCACCCACCCTGGACAGTTAGAGTTCGTCATTTTTTTTCGAATTTAAAAAAAATTTCAATATTTTTCAAATGTTTAATATATTCTACATAAGTTATTCATACTTCATATACACACTGCAGTTGTCGCATGTTCATTTCTGGTGATCAGAGCGTGAAATTTTCTTGTTGCGTGTTTGTATCTCATCTTTCTGCTTTTCATTTTCTTTTTCCAATTCTTTGTTACTT